CGAAAGTCAAACAATCGAAAAAAGCCATTATCGGTATTGAAGTAAACACGGTTGTTATCAAAACGGCACTGTTTAGGGCCAAATAACATTTTTCATACGATGTAGTACACTTTTGAGCCTTACCTAGGATCAAATTGAACACTCACTAAATTGCCACTCAAAGATTTATTCATCAGGAAAATAAACCTGGATGCATCATATTTAAACACTTCTAGAAGGCACCGCAATATAATGTGCAAAACAAATACTTTCTAGATCGACTTTTTTTGTATGCTTTTCAAAACTTCCGACTGTGGCGCGTATCTACTTTTGTGTGCATGTATACATACATACAAGAAAGTGCAGTTGTAATAAGTATTATAAAGTCAGTCAGGAGGTAATCAGAGTTATTTTGATATTAGCTCTTGGCTCAAAGTTGTTTATAAATTGGGTAAGTGCCCCTAAATAATGAGTCATATAACTCCAACCATTCTAAATTGAATCGTCCCGATTCATTGAAACTAATGGGTATATTGAAAGTAATTGATTGGTCAATTCGAAAGTGATACACAAATATTTTTTTTTTCACTGTCGGAATTACTACATTTTGGTTGAATTTCTATATGGATTTGCCGTGACTTGAATATTAATAGTCTGTATTTGATTATAAACAAAGTAATTAAATATAAAAATGTAAATATGAATAATATTTACGTTACTGGAATTTGAGCTTGTTAGATTTGAATAAAAGGATTTAGTATGTTAATATTATCGAATGAGCGTTCCTAATCATTTGACATAAAATATTCGGATACCAAAAAGTCAGTATATTTTCGAGCGGCGATGTACTCCAATATCTTATTGTCTACATTAGAGTAGGACATATTAATAATTTTAAATGTGTTTAATGACAGTTGTTGACCCATTTAAATGAGTGCCATCAACTGTATTTTGTCCATTTACAAAAATGGCTTCATCTTTGATTCCATCTACACTTTTATTTCTTATTTTTTTATGTATATTATAACAAGATCTATAATTAAAGTTTTTGTTCATGTTTAAAAATTTATTATGTCTTGATTCTTTAAAGTGTTTTAGTGTTTTTAGTGTTAAATACATCATACTTTAACAAAACTTGACCTTCCTTAAAAACTTGTCTTACAAAATGTTAGTTTTGTTCTGGTATGATGAACTGGATTCTTGGTCAGAGCTTGGGTACTCAAATTGTCGCCGTACACGATTTTGGTGTCTTCTCGTCTAAGCAACCAATTTCGTTCATTAGTGGACGCTTTTGAATGACCTCCTTGCAAGCTGATTATAGCGCCATATACTCCGCCTCGGTACTGCTAAGAACGACACTTCGCTGCTTTTCAGAACGCAAAAAAATTTAACCTCCAGCTAGGAAGTAGATTTAAATGACTTCCTGTCGTGTTTGTCACCAGCCCAATCCGCGTCTACGTATCCAAGAAAAGGTTAACCACACTTACTGTAGTGGAGCTTCATGTCCACTGTTGATGCCAGATACCATAATACATGCTTGATACCAGCCAGATGTTCGGTATGTGGGTCCTGATTCTGTTGCATGCATTGCGGTGCATGCTATCTGGAAACCTGTGTCCAGCGGTGTGGCCGCCTGTCTGCTATTTTCAATGCCATAAGCTTCCCATAAATCCGGGGAAATTGCTTCTAGCTCTCGTTCACGCTCTATCTACACGTCCAAGAAAAGGTTTAGTCAGTCTTCGTCCACGCATTCGAAAGACTTTGAGCTACTTGATTTAATCCTGAGCAAATCCTCTTTTAACTGACAGGCTACCAGAATATCGTCATCATACACGAGGATTACCGAGAGACTTCCATTTCCAGTATGCTTGTAAAGACATGGTTCTTTGGTTTCACAAGCAATTAAGCCGAGCTTAACCAGGGTACCGTCAAGCAGGGAATTCCATTCCCTTCCCGACTGGTTTAATCCGTATATCGCCTTGTTGAGAAGAATGACTCAGAATGACTCTGATCGATGTACCCCCCCTGTTGCTTCACGTATCCCGTCTCACTAAGATCGCTATTTAAGTATGCCGTACATAGGTCCATCTGATGTAGATACAGACCGAGCTCTGCTGCTAAGGCCAATATAAAACGCCCACTCTCTAGCCTGTAAGCTGGAGAGAAAGTTTCTTGATAGTTAACGCTGTACTGCTGGGAGCATTCTTTTGCAACCAGACGTGCCTTGTAGCGTTATATTTGCCCATCCTTGTCGCGCATAACGTTGAATACCAAATTGCATCCGATCACACGCTGTTTTTTTCGTTAATCTGCTATCTGCCAGGTCTGATTTGCGAAAAGAGAATCTTATTAGCATCATGCCATTCGAATGCATACGGACTGCTCATAGCCTCTTTATATGTTAATGCTTTCGCGACATGATTTGACACCAAGGCACCTAGGATGTTGTACTGCTTTTTGTGACGACCAGTCTTGCCAGTCCGGATGAGCTTCGGCCGATCCGGTCCTACATGTGTCTCCTTTATGTCAATTCTTCCTCAATCTTTGTATCATCTTTTTCATACTCGAACTGATCGAAACTTTCAATAGAGCTGTCATCTCCCTAGTCTGGTTTGAATCGTGACCGTCAATCCTATCGGCCTTTGGGAAAAGATAGAAACTTGTTTTATCGTCATCTACTGCATCATCATTTTCATCAAACAGGAGACATCTTTTTTTCGACTTCTAGTCGAGTAGTTGAATCGTACAGACGATATCCTTTGGCCTCCACCAAATATCTAACGTGCCTATCTCCCTCCGAACGCTACAAAGCGCCCTGGAGAATAAGGAGGTGGTGGAATACCAAGACTTGCCGAATCTCAAGAATTATGTGCAAAGAGCGCAACGATAAACTCAACCACTATGTACTGCACCTTCCACGGAAAGACTGCATACTGTTAGTGCGAATCCTCACAGACCACTGTCTGGCAGCATCACACGCAACCACACTCGGAATACAACAGCCGCACCTGCAAAAAATGTGATGAATCGGGGGCTGTTGAAACCCTGGAACATCTCATCTGCATTTCCCCGGCCCTCTTACGAGAAAGAAGAAGATACCTCGGTGCCCCAGTACTGGCATCACTAGGAGACGCCTCCAGCAGGAAACAAGGCGAACTTTTTGCCTTCGCCAAAAACACCTCGATCTTTGTGGACATAAAAACCTCTTAACTCATCTCAAGGTTCATACAAATCAACCGGACAACTAAGGGCCTTATTGTCCTATGCATGGCCCCGTGAGGGCAGTCCGGGTTATCCTATATGTTTAAAAACGCGTCATTTTTTATATTTACCTTTTAGAGCTGTGTATAACCCTTTGCAGGATTTTTAATGGCAAAAAACATTCCATCATCCAACATTTCATCTACCATCAACATTAACGTTCTTTAAACTATGATCAATGCACAACATCTTAAACTTAATATAACACTTACCTAACTTTTTATTTTAACTTAAAGAAACGATTAAAGTAACTCCGCTGCGCACAATTTAAATGGATGCTTCCCTTTCAACCACTCAAAGAGAATGCACCAATGCACCACTCTCACCCCATTACTTGATTTCTTTCGATTTCTCTTCGCTGTTGGGGCGTGCCACATCACCTATACCCTTTCTAAAGCGAAACATATCCGACTATATAATTTTTAATTTAATACGGACTAGCCGAAAGTTGTCTCTGAGAGTGACGAGTGCAGACGAATTATAAGAAAAGGAAAGAGAGCGAACCTCCGAATATCTGCCTCTTTTTGTTGCACAACCGTTTTCGCTGCGCTGACTTTTCTGCTGACGTCAACAGCGGCACAGCGTTTTTGGAACAAAAAAAAAAAAAAAAAAGCTTTTTGCCTTCAGACATGTCACCGCGTCCCTACTGCAGAACTGAAGGGTATAGATTGCCGATTCTGTTGACACTGACATGCATTCGACTTCTTGCATGACCTTTGCGTTTTGCAGACCAAAATTCACCGTGCACCTGCTTTCACCGCACTGCTTACTGACATAAAATAGCAAAGCATTTTTGGGACATAAAGCACGGTCTTCAAAGTTAATGTCTACAGCTCAGTCTGCAACTTAAAATCACATTTTCCTTAAGCCATAAGGACCCCATAATTGGCAAGACCGATAATTTCAGTGTTTTTCGAATTTAGTGAAAAGCTGTCTTTCACAACACATAGGGCTTGTCGCCCTACTGTCCAAAAACCACATCCAGTTTTTAAAACTGCCAGCATCCAACCCATTTAGCAAGCTGCTCTGTCCACGGTCCACTGTTGGTCAACGTGCGAATCTGGTTGTCTGTTTCAACCACTTGTGGACACTGGGACTTTACAGGTCCACGTTGACCACACTTGAAACAAACGATATTATTTCTATTCATCTGCCCATTTATCTTCGTATAAGACTTTTTGTTCTATGTTCGACAAACGCCTTGGTATTGTCATCGTGCTCATCTTTGATCTTAATGCAGACAGAGAGTTTTAAACGAGGCAATTCATCTCTGGTCTTGATAGCCACTACGAAATTTTCGAATTGTTCCGGAAGCCTCGACCGTAAAACAGTTGTCAGTAGCTCCTCGTTTAGGTCAGTTCCAACAAAAATTAGACCGTCTAGAACTTCCAGGATTTCATTAATATAACTGGATATGTTTTGGCCATGTCCCATTCGCTTTCCAAGAAACTTTTTTACAACTGTACCTTCCGTACCGGACCACGAGGCTGATGCACTTCTTTTAGCTTTCCACATGCTTCTGGCGAAGTTGGACAATTTTTGATGTAGGCCAAATGCGATTTTTTTTTTACTTAATGTTATTGTCGCCAAAGCCTTTTGGCCTGGCTGTCAATTCTCCGGAAACTAGACACCGACACAGATCGCATCTTTATGCTCCATGAATCATAGTTTTTGTCTTCTAACTTATCTATTTTATATAGACCACTCATATTTGTCTATTCAATTACACAAAGTTCTTAACTTTCAAACACCAACCCATATTGAACTGCAAAATCTTCCACATGAAGAGTTTATTTGCAACTAACATAAAGGAAAATACAACTATCATACACTGATGCTCCATTTTCGTAAGAGAAAGATGTCAATGTAGTACATGACTGCATTGCCAGATTTTAATAAACGTACTTTATTTTCGACAGTATCCTTGTAAAGAGGGAAATCATGGTTTGTATAATCCATAATTTCTGATTTGGTTGTAGCTACCAGCAATAATACATACATTATTGAAATCATTACCTGAAATTTGAGACAAATTATTTAATATTATCTTTATGAATCGTGAGGTTTCTGCTATTTATAATAACTTTATTAGGATGATTTTACCTAACTACTTGTTTTTTAAATCTAGAATTAAGCTTGTTTCTTTTCGTAGATTTCCTCTCCTACGTGATAATTCTTATATGGTCTATCTTTATTGTCAAAATGTAACATTTTCTCTTGAGCTTGTTGCAATAATTTAGGAGTTTGATCATGTTTGATATTATTAAATAATATACGAGGTCAAAAGGTCGTTGGCTTGTTATAGAGTGAATTGTTAAATTATATTTTTGTTCTGCTCTAATTATACCTTCGGAACAATCAATCAAATTAAGCTCGTCTTTAACGCACCGAGCGATTTCTGTTAAAGTAGAGTTAGCCCTTTCTAATTGTCAGTAGGACGTACAATGTCGAGGATCCGCAAAGAATAATGATATACCGTTTCTTTTTGCAAAAGATTTAAATTAGGATGAAGAAAAATGTGGCTCGTTCTCTATCATCAAGGTTTTGGCTTATGGAAAAGGTTGCCAAATATCTGAAATTTTGTTTTCTATATTTAGTTTATTTGGAATTTCTTTCACGACTAAGTATATACAATAAGAATCTTTACAAGAAATGAATATAAGATATTGGGCATAAAATATGTCGATATGCAAATATTCAGTTTCTCTTTCCGGAATAGGTGCCTGACTTATAGAAATTTGCACTGGGTGTTTGTTATATTTGTTATACCCGTTACTCGTAGAGTAAAAGGGTATACTAGATTCGTCGGAAAGTATGTAGATCTCGGAAACTATGAGAGTTACAATACTGGGATTAGGCACGCAGATTCCTGAGATTCCTGCGCAGCGCAAGTTTGTTTCAGTAGAGTGCCACGACCACTCTAACGCCCACAAGCCGCCCAAAACTGTGGCTCCTACTGTTTTGATGCTAAAATTTTTTTTTGAAATGTATTGTTCTTATCAATACCTATCGATTGACCCAAAAAAAATGTTTGCCACGCCCATTTTAACGCCCACAAGCCGCGAAAACCTTTGACGCCCACAATTTTCATGCTAGATAAAAAACTTTAACTGAAATGTATTGGTCTCGTCAATAACTATCGATTGATCCAAAAAGAAGTTTGCCACGCCCACTCGAACGCCCATAACGCTTAGTTCTGTATACCGCCGGTAGGTGGCGCATTTTAATCTCGCTTTGCTGCTTGCATATCTCTATTTAGCTGAGTAACGGTTATCTGACAGTCGAGATACTCGACTATAGCTTTCTTCCTTGTTTTGATTGTAGAGTGCATTTTTTTATAAACTCCTTAAGTTTTTTGAATAAATTAGGCCAATAATATAGTAGGGTTATTTGTTTTTAGTTTTTATCAAGTCCTCTATGAGCCCTACAATTCGTTTCTGTAATTAAGGGCAATTTGTCTTGAGCGTTTTCGAAATCCTGGACAAATGTTTTTGTTTATAAAAATGTATTTATAAAATTATCATTGAGTGGTTTTTGAATTCTATAAAAGTCTTCTGGATTACAGTGAACTACTATTGGTTTATTAGGTGGAATCTATTCCCTCACGGTTGATATTAAATTTTCTGTAGTGGTATACTCTATTACATGTCTAGTATTTCCGAGTACATTCATCGACACTTGTATTGTATACCTACCCGTTGCTATTAGCAATTGTAGCTTAAACTGGTTAGGGGTTTTCGGGTTCCTTGTTTAAAGTTCTCAAAACTACTCTCTGCAGATTGCTCAGTGTTTTTATCTTAGACCGATCGATACTTTCCTTTAGGTTGTTTATTTTGATCCTGGCTTATAATTAGTTTTGGGTGAATAACTTTCAATGAAGAAATACCATCTCTTAATTTCGATATTTTGGGTTCTTTGATGTTGATGATCTGTGTAGATATCGATGTTGTAAATCTCATATAAGTAATTCCGAAGAATTTTAAAAGCCAAACATCAGCATCAATAGCGAAATCAGACCCATCAGTTGTTAACGCAAATTTTTTATTATAATCTGGTTGCACTAACTCCATTTGTACGATTACATTTTTTATTTTTTGATATTTTGCCTTTTTGCCTTCTAAATATTTTGTTATAGGTTTCGCAATTCTTGCAATTTTGCACAAATTTTCTGTAAGGCCAAGAAAGTGTCTTAGGTTCCGAATATTTTAAGGGATTGAATATTTTTTAATTGTAGACATTTTTTCGTTATCGGTTTTAATTATGATAATTACATCTTTGTAATGTTCTTGAGTTGTTTTTAAAAATATAATAATGTCACATAAACATGACACGTTTTTTAATGTCATCCATTGCTCTTTGGAATATTCGGGGGGCGTTTGTAAACCCAAAAGTCATTCCTAGGAATTCGTAGTTTTCATTGATTATTGAAAACGTGGTTTTCTGAATATCTGTTTCATTCATGAAAATCTGATGAAATCTAGATTCCAAATCAATTGTGGGAAAGTATTTAGCCTTTCCAAGATTGGACAAAGTCCTGCATTGGGTATCTATCAGGTATAGTATTTTTATTAAGTTTTTTATAACCTACTACGAGTTTTCCTCAGTTAATAAAAGTTGGTTTAAAATGTTTCCGTTGTCATAATTTAATTTCTCTACTTCTCCGTTATATTTTATAACTCCGATTTTTTTTTCAATAGGTTATATCCAATTAACCCATCTATTTCATAAAGTGTGTTCGTACCCAAAGGTACTCAACATGACCACACCCAACAAATCAAGCAGTAGCCAAGTTGGGAACAGTACCAGGCGCTCAGTAGCACCCACTGCATATGAGAAATGCTAATCAGCATATTATATGTCTCACTAACTCACCGTCTCACCGAGTCAACGACACACTGACCGGCCAATGCAGTCAGCACATTTTGCAGTATCAGCCAACTACGCAAAGCCAACTACGAAAACTGCTACCATAATCATAATTCCCTGACCAACTTTAGAATATAGCTTACTTCACTAGCATTACACTAAACTTCCGTGTTCCAAGTAGTATGTAAACATGTTCCAAATGAAGAATAAAACAGTTATCAACACACCTCTTAACTCCGCGGTTCTACTTCCTACATCTGGGAATAGGGCTCGTAATACACTATCTCAACTAGTAGCTAACCACGTTAGCTCACCCTCAGCGCAGCTCCAGCATCGCCTGTGGTCCGGCATCACAGTAACCATCGTTACCATTGCCGCGACGCGATCGTCCGGCCATCAAAGCGTCCCCGTGCCAGCGACAAGTGCTCATTACCCCCTTGTCCCGCGGTGTGACCCGGAAGTGTCTACTTCGGTTAGGCACAAACAAAGTGTATATCGCGTATCAATTATAGTTATCACGTGGTTGTATTTAATTATTAAATATTCATTCACTATGAATACTCTTTTATATATTGAAAGCTTATTTCTATTTTTATAAATTCCTGTTATTCGTCTAGAAATTATTTTTATTCTGATAAAATTACTATACGTATTTTTGTTTTGATTATTGTCTTGGTTAAGCCTTAAATGATTATTGTTCCTCTGGTTTTTATACCCGTTACTCCTAGAGTAAAAGGGTCGGAAAGTCTGTAACTGGCAGAAGGAAGCGTTTCCGATCCCTTAAGGTATACATATTCTTGATCAGGATCACTAGCCGAGTCGATCTAGCCATGTCCGTATGAACGCTGAGATCTCGAAAACTATAAGAACAAGGCTGTTAGAACTTGGCATGCAGATTCATGAGCTTCCTGCGCAGCGCCAGTTTGTTTCAGCAATGTGCCAGGCCCACTGTAACGCCCACTGTAACGCCCGAAAACTGTGGCTCCTACAGTTTTAATGCTAAAAAATTTTAACTGAAATATATTGTTCTCATCAATAGCTATCGATTGACCAAAAAAAATTGGCCACGCCCACTTTAACGCCCACAAACTTCAACAAATCGTAAATATGAACGCGGATATCTCGGAAACTATCAAAGATAGAGAATTGGGATTTAGATTTAGATTCCGTAGCCTTGTACGCAGCGCAAATTTGTTACGCGAATATGCCACGCCCACTCTAACGCCCACAAGCCGTCCAAACCTGTGGCTTCCACAATTTGTATGCTAGATACAAAATTTTAGCTGATATGTATTGGTCTCGTCAATACCTATCGATTGACCCAAAAAAAAGTTTGCCACTCTAACGCGCATAACGCATAACGGGTATCTGATAGTCGAAGTACTCGACTATAGCGTTCATCCTTGGTTTATTTTAAAGCCTCGTTTTAGAATTTTATTCGCGCGTCCCATGTTTGGCGCCAATTTACTTTCTCCTTAGTGAATTAATAACAAAAATGTAATTTTATTTTGTAATTTTACTTATTCACTATTACATATATATAGGTCGAACTTTTTATTAAATCACTGCTCTATACTTTTCACTTGGTTTAACTACTCGATTCAATTCTGAAAAACGGACTGCGCTGCCGCGTGCTTAATGATCAATATTCAAACTTCGGTTTAAGAGATTTATCTCAAAAACTTATTAAGAGAATGACTCATGAGAGTCGGAAAATGGGATGATGCGGGATGATTAGGGATTGCTTTGGGGCTCTGGTGTTAACGTTAGGGGTCTTCTGGGCCCACTCTGATGAAAAGAATCTGACAACGAGCAATGTGCAAATTTTCTAAAGTTTTTTTTGGCGAGCAATTCATCAATTTTCAATGATCTTAAATATCCAGTTATGCTTAGACGAAAGCCACAGGAGCTATTCCTGATACTTATCCTGTAACTTAGTTGTATAATGAAGCACACAATATAAATAGTATTATATTAATAAACAAGGAAGAACGCTATAGTCGAGTACCTCGACTATCAGATACCCGTTACTCAAAGGGAAATGGAGATATGCAAGCAGCAAAGCGAGATTAAAATGCACCACCTACCGGCGGTAGACAGATTTAAGCGTTATGGGCGTTAGAGTGGGCGTGGCAAAATTATTTTTGGAT